TTCTGTGAGGCGAGTGTGCTCACCTGCTCCTGCCACCCCTGAGCTTCCTGGCAAAGCGGTGTCTGGCTTTGCCGGAGTTGGGCATTCTCACTCGCAGCATGTCTCATTGCTCCCTGGAGCCGCTGTTTGTTGACATTCAGCAGGGTGAGCTTGGCTTCAGCTAGTTCCAACGCAAGCAAGCGGGATTCTTGTGCTAGGGACCTGATCCTCTTGGACATGTCCGCCATGCACAGTTGCTGTTTTCGTAAACGTTGTTCCTGGTCTCGTTTGAGCTGTTGCAGTAGGAAGGGTATCCATCCTCGCATCTTGGCTGTGACCCGCAGCACCTTCTGGTAGGCTGCCTCACGATGCTGTGCTTCCCTGGCCGCCTCTTTCAGGCGGGCCTTCTTGAGAGTTGCCTCCAAGGCTTCGTACTCTTTCTGGAGCTTGCTGAGTTCTTCTGAGAGCTGGCACTTTTGTTGAATGAGTCCTGCAAGGCGAAGACTGAGGCGTTTTTCTCTCCTGAGGGCAAGCCAGCTGCTCATGGAGCGAAAAACGCGCTGTGAAAGTATGAGTAGGGTCCAAAGACCCAGAATGGCTAACCACTCCATGGCACAAGGCTACTTGAGCAGTTGCCTGTGCCCCTGAGTAGTGGCCTAGAATGTTCAGTGTTTGGTCCAGCACCTGGCAACAGGAGCGGCCCACTGCTGCTTTGGTTTGGGGGTGAAGTGAGGGGCACGTGGGCAGCAGGACCTGGCAGGCATCGCGGGCTCAGTTGCCCACTGAAAGTGGGGCTAGCATTTTGTTCTCTGTCCTGGAACAGCCCGGGTCCACACGCCCCCATGAGCCTGCCGTGTGCCTAGTGCATGCCACCCCACCCCTTCCCTTGTTTCCATCTGTGCTGGTGCCTGTGTTGGGCTGGGGGGCAAGATCATTTCTCCAGTGCTGTAGTCTATGTGTGTCAGTGTGTAGGCAATCTTTCAAAGACACGGAGCCTAAAATAGCACCAGACCAAGTAGCTCTTTGTAAGTGACTGAAATCATCTTGACAAGGAAACAGAGTCCTTTGTTTACCTGGTGATAGGGTTGCTTTCTTCTGCCATCATTCAATGCTTTCATCTCCAATTGATCTCCATCAACACATCTTGATTTCCATGTATGTCTTGACATTCCCCATGCCTGAAGTTCTCGTGGGCTCTCTGGACCCCTCTATGTATTATTCTCTGTCCTTCTGGGGCTCGTTTTCTTTTGTCCATTGCTTAAGTTTCTAGGAAGGTATTCAAGGGGCATGGTAATAGCAGACCTCTTTGTCTTGTTCCTGATTTTGGAGTGAAAGCTTTTGGTGTTTGTCCATCTAGTATGACATTGGCTGTTGATTTCTCACAGATGGTTTTGATGAGATCGAGATAGCCCATGTATGTATTTTGATTTTGTGCAGGGTGTCAACGTGAATGAGTGTTGGAGATGATGGTGTGGTTTTTGTCTTTGGCTGTGTTGATATGGTGTGTTACGTTGACTGGTTTGCATATGTTCAACTGTCCCTGCATTCCTGGGATAAATGCCACTTGGTGCTGGGGTGTACTCTAACGGATGATTTGCTACATTGTATGTGCTAGTATGTTCCTGAGGATCTTTGCATCTATGCTCATTAGGGAGATTGACCTGTAGCTCCCTTTCTTAGTTGGGTCCTTTTCTGGTTTTGGTGTCAGAGTAATACTTGCTTCCAGGAATGTATTTGGGAGTATTGCTTCCCTGTCAATTTCATGCAAGAGTTTGAAGAGTACTGGCATTAGACCTTGCCTGAATGTCCTGTAAAATTCAGCAGTGCATCAATCCATCAAGGCCTGGGCTTTTCTTTGTTGGTCGGTTGTCCTGACATCTTCAAGTCCCTTGATTGTTATTGGTTCATTTAGGGTCTTTGTATCTTCTTGCTCCAGCTTTGGTAATACATATGTGTCCAGGAATCTGTCCATTTCTTGTGCATTTTGCGCCTTACTTAGAATACAAGGTTTGCAAGTAGATGTAGATGGTCTTATGGATTTCAGCAGGGTCCATTGTGATTTCACCCTTTTCATTCCTGATTGCATGGATTTAAGCCTTTTGCTTCCTTTCATTGTGAAGGTGGGGTAAGGGTTTGTCAGCTTTATTTAATCTCTCAAAGAACAAATTCTTTGAGTGATGGATTTGTTGTATTGTTTTCCTAATATCCAGTGCACTATTTTCTGGTTATATCTGAAGATCTGTATAGTTTTTCCCCTTCTTCCAGCATTTGTTTTAGGGTACTCCTCATTTTCGAGACGTTTGAGGTTCACCTTGAGGTAGTTTCTATGTGCTTGCTCTGTTTCCCTGAAATGGATATTCTGTGGAATTCCAAATTCCTTTCCATACGATCTGACAATGTGCATGGGATAATTTCATTTGAAAGAGCAAAGAACAGTACCCAAATAACACCAAGAACCAAGCCCAAAACAGAACAATACAAAAACAATAAAAATGATACAGAATTTCCTAACAAGAGGATGGGAAACTAACACGATGACATATTGTTCCCTTCAACCAAGTTGGTGAGATTGCTGGATGCAAGGATGCACTTGGGAGGAAGGAAAGGAGAAAAGAAAGGAAGAAGGAAGGGAAAAATATTTGCGTATACACACAGATAGCTGGGAGAGTTGTACTGCTGATGTCTGTTTGTTTATTGAAAGGACCAGTTTATGCTGAAGTTGGTTTAGATCAGTTTTGTGTGCATATGTGTGATAATCTGAAGAGCCAATTTGAAGACAACCACATGCATGGGATCATTTCAGTTCCTTTGCATTTATGTAAGCATGTTCTATGAGCTAATATGTGGTCTGCTTTGGAGAACGTCCTGTGTGCAGCTGAGAAGAAGGTATATTCTGAAGTTGTTGGGTGGAACGCTGTGTAGACCTCTCCTAAGTGTATTTGCCCAACAGTTGGGTTCAGTTCTAATATTTCATTTGCCTAATTCATCTGTCTTTTCGTGACAACAGCGTATTGAAATTCCCCAGTGCTATTGTGTTAGTGTTCACTGGCTTGTTCATGGCCGTGTGCATTCACTTTACATAGTTGGGTGCACTGGTATTTGTTGCATGTATGTTTATAATTGTTAGCTCTTACTGCTGGGCCATTCTCTTTGCAAAGAGGTAGGTAGTGACCATCTCCATCTCTCTTAGTCAGTGTTGTCTTGAAATTCACTTTGTCTACAAAGAGAATAGGTATTCCTGCTTTTTCTCTTGGTTCCTGTTGCACAGAGTATCATTTTCGATCCTTTGACATTCAGTGTATGAATGTCTCTTTGAATGAAATGTGTGTCCTGTTTGTAGCGTATGGCTGGAGATTGCTTGTTGGTTCATTCTGCCGGTCTGTGAGTTTTGACGGGTGAATTGAGACCATTAAGAATTGACAGGTATTCCTGATGTGTATTGACTTATCCTGGTCATGTTATTTTCCTGTTGTTGGCTCCTCCCCGCATTTTCCCCTCCCTCTGTTGCATGGTTTGCCTTGCCTGGTGCATTCCTTCTGTTGTGGTTCCTGGAGTGGTCTTCTTTGTTACCTCTTTCTAGAGTGCCCTTGCAAAGATTGTGGAGTGCTGGTGTGGTGGTCACAAATTTCCTCAGATGTTCTTTTCGTGGAAGTATCTCCTCCCTCCATCATTTTTGAAAGATGGTTTTGTGGGGTATATCAGTCTGGGATGAAGGTTGTCTTCCTTTAGAACTTGAAATATTTCACTCCGAGCTCTCCTCGACTTGAGGGTTTGTACTGCGAAGTCTGCAGGAGTCTGCTGAGCTTTCCTTGGTCAGTAACTGGTTTCTTTTCTCCAACAGCTTTCCACAGGCACCTCTCATATACAATTTCTGGAATGTTGACTATTCTATGTCTTGGTGAGGACTTTATTTCATCATGCCTAATTGGTGTTTTGCATATCTCACGTTTTTGTATGTGAAATTCTTCTGCCATGCTTGAGGTAGTTTCTCTCATGACTTTTGTGAACTGGTTTATTTATTGATTTATTCTTTTTAGTGTTATGTGGCTTCTCTGTTTTATTGAGTCTGATCCATGTTACTTTATTCTTCTTTGCATCCTCTAGCAGCTTTTGGATTGTGTTTTGATTGTCCCTTGATATTTGCAAGAAATCTTTCTTTCCGTGAACACTACCTACAAGCCTGTCTTTTGTATCTGAGATCCTGTCTTCACATTGGCTTAATGTGCTGCAGATACTTTGAATGGAAGTTTTATTGTCCTGGATTTGTGCTTGAGTCGATGTTATGGATTCTTAGCATTCATGGCTTCCATCATTTTGTTAAGCTCCTGTATTTTGTTGTCTCTATGTACGCTAGAGTCTCCAAGCGTGGTTTTCATTTTGGACAGCGTCACTGCATTGATATGAGACATTATTTCTGATTTGAATTTTTCTAGATCCTCAAGCAAGTGTTTTGACTGTGTTGTTCTTACCGCTTAAGGGAGGCCAGGTGGGGGTTTTTGGGTTGTCCCACCTCTTTGCCCCCTGGGTTTGCCTTTGGTTAAAGGAATGTCTGGGGTTTTATCTTGTTGTAATGTCTTCTCATTTTTTTCTCTGTTTTGTAGTTGAATTCTTGAGGTGATGCTTTGAAGTTGCCTATGGTGGGTCGCTGTATTGCCAGTTTGTAGAACCCTGACGACATGACTACCTCTCCAAGGAATCTTGAAGGTAAAGCTGATGTTTGGGTTTTGAGTCTGTTGAAAGATCCTACCTCTTCAGTGTGTTGGGGAGGAGCAGCTGCTGTCTGTTTGTCCCAGCCCCTGTTTCTGTGGCACTGTGCTACAGTATCTTCTATGACCCTGTGTCAAAACTTAGTCTTGGAATGCCAGGAAGAATAGCTGTTTAGAACAGTTGCGTCACTTTTGTCTAAAGTGATACCGTCAGCAGTAATAGTAGCATCCATCACAGCCTAGAAAATGACAAACTGAGGAAACCATTACCTGACCACCTTAAAGCATATGAACTAGATTTGTGGTTATAGAACAAAATGGCAAAAAGGCCAGAAGATACTATGCAGTCTAGAAGTCATTCATAAGTGGATTTGTCCCTTGGGCGAAAAGGGAAAAGGTGGTAGGGGAAAAACAGGATTGCAGGAGGAATAGATTAGAAGTAAGGCTGGAGGATAAAGGGAGATCATGCTAATTTTGGGAAGGTGGTGTAGGCCACTGGAAGGAAAGAGAGATGAAAGAGGTAAAGAGAAGAACAGAACGGAACAGAATAACAATCAGAAAGAGGCTAAAGAGCGCGTTCACACTCATATAAGAATAAGATCAAACAATGAAGGAGAAAACAAGAACAAAGCAACCACAAAGCTGGCAGCACTACCACCACTACCAGCAGCAGCAGGAGTAGCAGCAGCACAACAGAAGACAGGGTGTAGAAAAAAGTGCATTTCCAGGCTTGTCTCTGCTGTCACTGGTAGACAATCTGTGCAGATAAAGAAGGACTATGCCTCATTTATCTCTGTAATTCCTACATGTGATGTAGTCATTAAGTATTTATTGGACTAATGAGTTACCTTGTAAAGTTATATTAAAAACAAAGCTTTGGAACTCCTTAAAACTGGAAAATTTAAAGAAAAATAAAGGAATAATAAGTATTAATCATTTATTTTTACTATAATAATCACAATAATTAGTATTTAGGCTCTTTCAGGGGCTTTAACTATTTCATATTTACAATTTAAGTTTTTGTTAGCAAACCTTGCCTTTTCCCTTTGTAACATTGGTCTATTGCTGACACCAAGAAAAATGAGCATAGATGGGTAGGGGAGTATAAAGCTGCTGTTTTCTAGTTAAATAGCAAGGAATGGGGGCTGGGGATTTAGCTCAGCGGCAAAGCGCCTGCCTGGCAAGCGCAAGGTCATGAGTTCGGTTCCCGGTACCGGAGAAAAACCAAAAAAAAAAAAAAAAAAAAAAAAAAAAAAAATAGCAAGGAATGTACATTGTCAGATATGTTATCATAGACAGATTTGGAATTTACATATTAAAGGAGGCCAGGTGAAAGGCAATTGCTAACAGTAACCTAAAACAAAGAAACAAATGAAAACATTTGCACTTCAGCTCTCAGGGTATTTGTGCATTCACTGTGATCCAAGCTCTATTTATTTTGGTCAAAGGTGTGCAAATGCACATCTCACATTCATTAATCTTTGGTCACAAACATTAAAGGATGCAAAACAATTCGAATTCTTTAGAAGTGATGGGAATTGGCCCAAAACGTCAAATAACCAATTTACAAAATATTGCTGACTTTTTTTGACAATTTGATGAAAAAATCAGATGAGCAAAGGAGGAGAAGGAGAAAAGGGCAATAAGAACTGGCCCAGTGGATAAGACAGTTTGACATTAGATGGCTTACATTTCCAGAGAGAGAAGAAGGAGGATAGATATGGAGAGTAAAAGGGAAGAACTCTTTGGACTTCGTTTTCATGACTACCTCTGCAGGAAACAGGGAGAAGAGACCTCTGCTGGCTTTAGGGGTTGAATTTAATATTGAATTATTTCTGTAAGAAGGTAAGCATTATTATAAACTCAACCCTCGATCAATGGAATAGAATTGAGAGTACAAAGTAAATCTTTATATTTTTGGCCCATAGTTTTTCCAGCAATGCACCAAACAATTCAGTGACGGAAAAGAATAGTCTTTTCAGTAAACTGAATAAGCAGCAAAATAATACTGAAAAGAATGATGTTAGGAAGAAGCCTAACCTTTAGTCAGGTATTAGTTTGAAGTGTAGGCAAAGATTTTATGAACAAAACTCTGATTACACAAAGAGTCAACAAGTGAGATCTCATTTAAAAAGCTTTTGCCCTGCAAAAGAAATCACCAACAGAGTCCAAAGACAATCTAGAGTGGGAAAAAAATTTAGCCAGTTCTTCAGACAAAGGACTAACATACAAAGAACATACAAAGAATTGAATCAGACACCCCAAATTTAAAGAATAAATCCAAAAATGGGCATCTGAGATGAATACACAGTTCTCAGATGAAGAAATACAAATGGTAAATATATGAAAAAAAATGTTCAGTATTACTGGTAATTAAAGAGATGCAAATAATGCTATTCTTAAAGGAACTAAACTAAAAATAATTGAAACCAAGGCATTTAAAATGCTTCTTTTTTTGAATAGAGCACAATTTGTAGTTTAATAAAATATACACAAAATGAAAGAACTGAGTAGATGATTTTAAGGTTATTTCCAGATATGTAATTTGGATTTTATGATTTCATAATTTCCTAAGGAAATCTGAGCCAACTGTGATTCATGTGTCTCTAATTGAAGTTCTTTTTCTGTTTCTCCCTCCTTCCCTCTCTCTTCCCCCGCCCTTATTCTCTTTTCTCTAGTTCTTGCTATGTATTCTTGATTCAATGAGAATAAAACTGTAAATCAGGGATAAAAGATACCAAGTTAATCTTTTCTATAACATTTAAAGTGCACTACTTATTACATAAATACATAAGAAAGTCAGTAGAGAAAGTCAAATGGAGAACACAGATTTGCTCAGAGAATTGAAATAAAAGCATTGATAAATGGCATTACTATTAAATTTTTATAAATTTAAAATGAAATGAAAAAAAGATCAGTTTATTTACATACTTGTCCATGGTCGTTATTTGATTTAATGTCATGGTAAGTAATTTCATAAATAGACTTCCCTTACTGCAGAAGACACTGTAGAGATCAATTTAGCTAAAAATAGCTTTCCATCTAACATCATTAGTTGGAAATATGTTTTAGACAACAGCAATTTCTCTTGATTAATGAGGTTGTAAACCCGAAATCATATCAACCAATGTATTTACTAAATGCCTGTTACTGTGCTCTGATTCAGAAAATACATTAAGTATAAAATAAATGGTTTTTAACCTTGAGAGAGTTTATTCAGAAGATCCTTGCCAAACTCCTAATCCTTTAAGAGCCACTACTTTTCTTTGAAGTCTTTTTAGATTCTCAAAAGCAGACATGGTTAGGTGGTTTCATTTATTAAAGTTTATTTTTAATATCTCTTTATCTATCTGCCATCTTAGGTTTTGAGCCCCAGGGTTACAATCCTATTATTCATTTGTTGCTAATCATGTGACAGGTATTTAACAAATACCACTTACAGGTCAAGTAGATAATGGCAAAAATGAAAGATGTTCTTCTCTACCATAGAACTTTCAGTCTGGTGATGCATAGAAGTAAACAGGTATCATAAAGTCACTAATTTTTTTTCAGTTTCTCAGATGTACAAATGACAGGTGACTTTTTTCTGAAAAAGACCATACTTCAGAATATAAAGCATGAGTCTCTCAATTTCTTCTAGTATAATCTCTTTCTTACTTTAGACCTTTTGTGGCATAAGTTTTCAGTCTGTTAGACATACTTTCTCTCCTTTGCTGTAATTCCAAATGATTTATGGATTTAAGGGGAGTTTAAATGTCCTTGTGGGAACAGAGGAAGGGGCCTTTGCATGGATATTGAGGCCTGCATATGAAACCATGCTGGTTCAGTGAAGCATGGAATCTTACTAAGACCTGATTGGTGTCCACTGGGAATGCAGCTGTCCGGTGTATTGAGACACTGTGCTGGCATCTACTCCAAAGTTCTTTGTCCCCAGTGTTGAAATGCAGGAGTATTTCAGTGGAAGCCTAGCTCTCCAAACTCTGTTGGCCCATTGGTCTTTTCAGTATGCTGAACTTGAGATCATGTGAACATTTCTGGGTTTATATGTTCAGGACATAAAGATCCTGGTATGTATCTAGATTTACCTAGCACAGAACTCCTCTCACAAATGTTCTTGGTCTGAGCAAGGCTGGATTCCAAGTTGAATACTAGGCTTCTCTTAGAGTCCTTGGAGTGTCTGCAAAGCTGTGACAGGGGAATATTCTTATAATATATCTTATATTATATTATGTCTTATATTATCTTATAATATATCTTATATTATCTTGATGTTCTTATATTGATTAATTTCTTCAGAACTGGACCCTACTGGCAATTGTCATATGGCTTCCTATAAAAGGAGACTGTGATTACAAACAGAAGAATCATCTTGTCTATAGTTTTCTGACTATAATTTCAATGAAGTATGCATTTATAAAGTAGTGTGATAGGTTTTTAATAACCATAACATTTGACCCAAAATTGAGATGTTGAAAAAATTAAGATGGACAGAAGAATTACAAAATGTATACAAAGAGTACACATATATTTATGCATACTTTTCACGTAGCACATAGCTTACCCTCAGGCAAACATTTCGTTAACCAAAGGAAAACAGTGGTCAAACCTAGGAAATTAGTGGTTAGAGGATATTAATGAAACTACAGAATTTATCTAGCCCCCCCACCTTAAAACAGGGTCTTGTTAAGTTCCTAAATTACCCAGGCTAGATTTCAGCTTTCCAACCTACTGCCTCAGCCTTCCAGAAAGCTGGGATTACAGACAAGTGCCACACGTCGAAATCCACTATTTTATTATATTTTTCTTTCCAATATTCAGTCTGAGGCCCTACCCTGCACAGAGCTGTTATGCCTCCTTAGTGCCTTCAATCTGAGCTGATTCCTTAGTTCTTCTTTGGTTTTTATGACGTCAGCACTATTGAAGATTAAGTTGTTGTGTAGAATTTTCTTCCATTTGAATTTGTTAGTTTCTTTTCCTTGACCGTATTAAGGTTATACATTATTAAAAAGATTATCTCTGAGGTGATGTTCACTTCTAAATGCATCATATCAAGGGTAGATGGGGGCTGGGGATTTAGCTCAGCGGCAAAAAGCACCTGCCTGGCAAGCGCAAGGTCGTGAGTTCGGTTCCCGGTACCGGAGAAAAACAAAAAAAAACAAAGGGTAGATGATATTTACCTACCTTATTACTGGTGATATTAACATTGGTCACTTGGTGTCTTATAGGATTTTTTCCCTTTTTTTAAAAATTATTGGTTATAATTTATTGGTTATTGGTACAAGTTAAATATCCATAATGATTACATTCATCATAGGGAATTTGTACCTATACGCGATATATCTTGACTCATCTTTTTGTCCCAAACCCCTCCCCTCCCTTCAACCCTTCCTTCTTTACAAAGCTTTGTTTCCATATTAGCCTTCTTTTCCCATTTTTTCCTTTTCTCTTCCTTCCTTTCTCCCTTATCCCTCTAGTTTACCTTCCCTTTTGAACAATTTCTTCCTATTTCATAATATCTATTATACATTTTGGTCATTATTTACACTTGCAGTTTCTTGCATCAGAGAGACAGTGTAATATTTACATGTGTTTGTCTGGTTTATTTCACTTAAGAGTATGATCTCAAAGTACATCCATTTTTACAAAGTTGCAGTTTTCCTATTTGTGATTGCTAAACATCTTGGGGGAGATAACTTGTGATTTTTGTGGACTGAATACTTGTTCCCCACACATTTATGTGCTAAACTATGAGTATCCAAAGTGATGTATTAGGGGAAGGGGCCTCTGGAGACTGTTGGGTGTTGAGAGTGAAGCTCTCATGCGTGGGACCAGTTTCCTTATACAATGGACTCCAAAGGGAGCATTCACCACATCCTTCACATGAACTCATAGGTCACTACCTCCAGCAGGAGTGGCCCTCACCAGGTACTGAATTTGCTAGCACCTATGTCTTGGACTTTGTAGCTCCAAGAAATGTGAAAAACAAATTTCTGTTATTTATAAGTTATTCAGTCATTCAGCCTATTTTAATTTGTTATAGCAGCATGAAAGAACTGAGATAGTCACTATGCAAAATCCTATTGCTGCTGAAACTTTTATTTATCAATATTAACACCTATCATTGGCTCCTGCAAAAGGTGATTGTTACTGTGGTGTTTAATAGCAATTTCCTGTTTTCCTCATTCCTTCTACATTTTTAATTGGGAAGTTTTTATAAGGGAGTCTTGCCCTTTCTCTATTATTAAAATTTCATTTATTGATTAATTTGTGTATATCAGCATGATTATTTAGTTCTTTAGGTTACAATCCGATATTATTACTATTTATTTAGTTTTTTCAAATTGCCTTCATTTTACCAATTTCATTTTATTCAGATTGTGTCTTATGAACTTTCAATAGGTCCTGATCTTTGATTTATTTTTTTATCACTTTTATACTTTCTAACATCACAAACTATCCTAGATCATTTTATATTTTCCTTCATCTGGGAGAAACCAGCTTTCTTAAGAATTGTAGTTCTTCTTATTTAAAAAATAATATTTAGAAATGAAGCTCATTGCTGCTGGTGATACTTCTAGTAGCTTTCAGTGGGTAGAACTGAGAAATACTCTGTATCCTAACTGATGCTTACAAATACATCTATGTTACTCCTTCCTATACTTTTAGACATTAAAAAATCATGAGTGCTTTATAATACTTCCAGCTCTAATTTAATATGAAAACAAAATAAATTTCAGAATTACTAGCTCATACCTCTTGTTGTGATTTACATCTGGATGTCTCCCCATAGCCTCACATGTTCATGGATGGGGCTTTGGGGAGATGAGGGATTGTGGAGTCCATGTCCCTGACTTGCTGGTAGGAGGTGGGTCATGGTAGGAAGAGGTGGGTCTATGAGTATGTGATATGAAGGTTATACCTCCTTCCAGCCCCTCTCTTCACTGTCTGCTTCCCCATTGTGTGATGTGAGGCATTTCTCCTCTTCCATGCCATCCTGCCTTGGAAAGAGCCAACAGTGGACTGTACACAAAATAAACCTTCCTATCTTTAAATTGTGGGTGTTGGGTATTGTGTCTCAGCAACAAGAAAAGTGACTGAGACTGCCCTGTAAGAAGCAAATCTGCAATTCACCAATCGTTATATTGCATAGGGTTGTTTTGAAATTAGTTGCTCAGATTACCAGTTATAAGCATGCAAAATTGGTGAATTCCTACCATCTTGTTTAGGGAAGATCTGTATCATTTCTAATGTTTATTATTATTTTTTATTCTCTTTAATGGCTTGATCAATCTTGCATTCTTACAACTGGTAATCTGAGCAACTTCATTGAAGATAACAATATGTAATATAACAACCACTCTTAATTCCTATCATTCTGTTTTGAAATCCTGTATCGTTGTTATTGTTTTTGTGTTTTGTTTTTGTCTATGTTGTTATTTTGATACTTTTTAAATTCTCTTTAAAATAAAAAAAGAAACCTAAAGAAGCAAATCTGTCAACACTGTCAGAGATATCCAGCTAGAAGCTCATAGGTCAAAGCTAACCTGACATGTGTTTTTATAAATAGTTTTATCAGAATGAAGCTGTGTTCATTTTTCAGTGATTTGTCTGTGATTATTCCTGTGCTCCAGCAGCAGGCTTTGGTAGTTATAAGAAAGATCATAGGGCCTGTACAACCTAACATATTTTTGTCTTTTAATGAAGTTTCCCAGCCCATCAGTTAGAGCACACTGTTAGTGTAGGTCTCTTTTAGTTTATAGCTATAAAGTATCCAGTCACATAACTGCTGACAAAAGTTCCTCATTTCAGCTGGTTTCTTCCCCATCTCTTCTAGTGAGATAAGATTTCACCTCTTACACCTACATGCCTCATAATCTACTTTCTATTTCTTCCCAGGTCCAGTTTGATTTTTAAACAATTAAAGTGTGGCCAAATTCACTCTTTGTGATGTACATTTTCATGAGATTTGATAAATTCACTGAGTCATTATCTATAGCCACTGATCTTTTTCACACCCCGCGTCCCTGAATGCTTCTCTCCTTTGCTATTGGCAACCATTATACCTCTTTTTAATAATTCGGCTTTTGTGTCATATAAATGGAGTAAAATACAACATATGCCCTTTAACTCTGACTTCTTTCACTTAGCAGACTGTATTTAAGATTTCACATATTGTTGTGCTAAAGTATTTACTGTTTATTCCTTTACTAAACAAGTTTACTACCTTATCATAAATAGTAGAATAGAAAGGAGTGGAACAGTATGGATGATTTGTTAGCGATTTAAAATGTAAGTCAACAAAAAATTAAAGATAGTTCCATAATTTTGAATTTGAGTTATTGACAGAATGTTTTACCTTAATAAAAATAAGACAACCCTATGTTTAAGTTTTTCTTTTCAAATAGTAAGAGACATTTATACAATATACCACTATGTGAAGCTAGAATAATGCTCATTAAGTAGTTATGAGTTGACTTAATGGTGACTCCACCAAAGCAGCAAATATATCGGTTTTAATTTTTAAGTGGATGCATTCAATGGTAAGAGTCAAGATGCAAACATAGAAAAAATGGTTTCTATGTCATTTTTCCTGAATAATTTTCTCTATTTGTGTATGGAAGAATTGTTTAAACATCTAACAGTGGAATAATTCCAGTATGCTTTTTTTTTTTCAGATAATACATAGTGACTGTCAATTTTGTGTCAATTTTGCTAGGCCTAGGAGTGCCCAGAAAGCTAGCAAAATATTTCTCAGTGCTTGTTCTGGAGGAGATTGAGATCTGAATCAGTGTACTGAATAAAGAAGATCCACCATCATCAGTATGGGACATCGTGCAATCTGTTAAGGACCAAAACAACAACAAAAAAAGGTAAAGGACGGGCAAAGTCTCTTTTAACCCATTGAGAGATTATCCATGTGCTCTAGCCCGCAGACATGGAAATCTAGAGCATTCAGACTCTGGGACTTACATCCATGCCCTACGCCCCTCACCATCAGCATCTGGCTCCCTTGGTTTCCAGCCCTTTGCATTCTGAATTAAATCGCCACTTTCCTGGGTCTCTGGCTTGCAGGAAGCATATTGTCAGTGTCTATAATCACACTAGCCAATTCCCATATAATAAATCTCCTCTTGTATATCTTCATATATGTATTCCTATTGGTTCTGTTTCTCAAACGATAGACAGGAAGTGGAAGTAACCATATGATCCCACATCTTTAGAAACAAAGCACTAGTAACCTGTTGGGTAATTTCTTCAGGTTTCCTTAACAAATATAGACAAAGATATATATACACACAATCATATCATAATATTCTCCTATTGGCTAATTTTAAAACTTGATAATATACAACCTATGATGTTTTAAGTAATATTTGTGTTCTATTATTTTTATGATAGCATAACATTCTATTATATAATCATACTGTTTTATATATATAATTAACTCATTTTTGATATTGATATAGATGAGGGCACAATGCTTACTGTTAGAAGAAGCACTGTTCTATGTGCAAATATTCATTCTTCAGTATTTTCCTAGTATAAGTCTTTAGAAGTTTACCTACTGGAGGAAAAGATGGCATTTCTTTTTTTAATTTTTAGCATTGCCTGTGTCAGTAGTTTTTCACTTTTTCATTGGTTATACAGATTAAGAGATTTCATATTGGCAGAGTTGTACATGTTCAGAATTTCTAATTTTATGTTTTGAAAGTAGTTTTTTAACCACTACTAAATATTTTTAGAAAAGTTATTTTTTGTCTTGGTTATTTGAGTCTTACAGATAGATACCAAAGTGCTGCTAGTTCTTGTTGTATGAGTTTGTTCTCAAAATTTCAACTAGTAAAAATTCGTTAACAGTTTAGTGGGTATGTTGAATATGACTAATTCATGTTACTCAGATATTTATTCCATTGTGTTATGAATGCTTACTATCAATAAACACAGGAAGTGGAAAAATCTGATTCTGTAATATGTACATGTAATCCCCCTTCTTTATGATTAATTTAGGTTAATATTGTTAATCATCCCCATTTCTCAACTCTGTCTGGTTTTTCTTACTTTATTGAAATACATGGTTGTTTATCTAACCATTAAGAAAATGTAAGTCAAGAAAAATGTAAGTTTTTCCTTTTGTTTTTTTTTACTGTTTCCGAGATCCATCCACACCTCTATATTCCCAGCATTACTTCTGGTATATTTCACTTTTATGCATGACTCCAACAGCCTCCTAATTTTTTTGACTATGGTTTTACACTAATCTAACAAGTCACCTTATTACAACTAGAAACCTTCTAAGTGAAAATAGATTTCCTGATATTTTGTTTTGCTACAGAAACGGAAACACCAAAATGACACCCAGGGTTTGGAGGCAGATTTATTTATGTCAAAGGGCATGGATCATTCCCAAAATATCAGGCTGCTATCTCTGGTGGCCTAGGGCTTATATGAGATAAGCAAGCAGGAAGTACAGAGGCAGAATGGCTTGTCAGTTGGTGATTGGTTCCTACAATATGCATCGTACTGACCCACTGTGCATCACAGTGAGCAGCCCATTCTAAGAAACAAAAGTAACAGGAACTGTAATCGGAACTATTACCTGGGCAACTGACAAACTGAAATATACTGGCTGAGAGGGGGAGCGCGCCGCATCTTCTGCTATAGTTTAAGACTCATTAATGTCTTCCTTTTGCCTTAATGGGCAGAACTCTGCAACAAGACATTTGAAACTGTAGACTCTAGTCACTATTTCTCTCTCAGCCTCATCCAGACATTTCTGTTGCTGTATTGCACATTCCAGACATTCCAAAATATTAGTAGGGCTCTATATGCTGTATTTTTTTGTTCTTTTTATGTATGGTGTAAGATCTGAAATTATATCTCTTTATTAATGGTCTCTTGACATCTAGTAAAATCAGGAGGATCTTAGATACCTGAAACCCAACTTCTTTTCCTCTTCTGCTCTAGCAAGTACGTTATGGCCCTTAGCAAGCAACCGTCCTGTCTTGGGGACTTGCGACATGCCTGCTTATCTCTCAGTTCCCTGGATCCAGTACCATGGCAGCCTGCAACACTGACCATCTCAAGTGAGATAGTCGCTTTCTCAAATAGGAAGCAGTGGTTGTTCTGTCTGCTAGTTCCTTACACAGCCGGACCCATGCAGCCCCTGGTTGCTGTTTATTCCCATGTGCCATCTTCCTACTGGCTCTGCACAGGGCGTGATATTGCCTCCCATGGGCTGTGAGTATATGTGACTAACAAATCTTACCTGTCCAGTATAGGGTGCCATGTTTTCAGCTACCCCCCGTAGCCCAGGGCAGGAATCCCTCCTTTACCAACAGGATAAAAAAAGAGGTGAATAATTTGCTATAATTTCTGTTTTGAAAGGAAGTTTACTTATCATTAAAAATTCTAATTCAATATGACTAATTAAATATGACTCAGTCTAATTCAATATGACTCAGTACTATGAATGAAATGCTTTGCCTCTTTTAATAATCCAATCTGCACCTTACTTAAATTTTGGTCTTTTTTCATGCCCCATCACACTGTTCCCACCTTGGAAGACTTTATCAGAGGAAGAGAGTGTGGCCATCTCCTCACTTCGTAACAGTTGATCTTTCTTGACATCACTATGTCATGAGCCGCCTGCTGTATAAACTTCATGATTTGGTTCTGGGAGAGAAGGAGGCACGCAAGATATGTAACCTGACAGGAACAGATGTTACTTGGTGTTTGGAGCCCTCTGAGTACAGTATGAGTACGGTAAATGGCCAGTGTTTATTATTTTTTCCTGGGATATTTTTGTGGGTTTCTCAGTACACTTCTGTCATAGTCAGTCTTTTATCACTCTAAGCAAATGACTGAGGTAATCGACTTATAAAGAGAAAAAGGGTTATTTTGGCTCAGAGTTTCAAAGTTTCAAATCCATGATTGGTTGGCCCCTCTGCTTTGGGCCCAGAGCAAGGTGACATTGCAGCAGGTAGTATGTGGAAAAGTAAAGCTGCTCACCTAATGGCCAGGGAGTGAAAGAGAGGAAAAAAGGAAGGCACCAAGTTTCCCACCATGTGCTTCTGGGGCAAAGTCCCAGTAATCCAAGGACACCCCCAAGGTTCTACCTCTTAGAGGTTGTAACATTTCCCAATAACACCACCCCACAGAATCTTTAATACAGGAGCCTTTGAGGGACATTTCAGATCCAAACTATAGCATTTCTTTAAAAAAAAAAAGAAAATCCTGCTTTTATGTGTGAGGAGTATTTCTCTGTTTTACCTACATGCCTCCCTGTCTTCCAGCAACGTCTTCATGAGAGACCTTCAGTTTCTTTTTACTAAAAGCTCCTTGACCTTGACTGCAAAACCTCTTCAAAAGCACCATTCCCCTGAAATTACCCATCTTGCTCTCTCCTCCAAAACCCGTATCTCTGCACTTACAACTGACAGAAAATGGAGTTCTCTCGTCACCCTGAAAATCTGGGTTTAGATGTCTACTTTTGAATTTCTCAGGCATGAACCAAATTTCTAGTGTTTATGTTTTATATATTTAAGTAGACAAACATCACATTCTCTGAGAAAAACCTTGGACAGTTCTTCAGTAGTTATGATGTGAAGAAGCATCTTGTGCCTTTCTCAAAGAATAGGATAGGTAAAAAGCCAAGGTATATGGATACCTCATCCTTAAGAAATTCTATCTTTTTATGTTCTTTTAACTGTTTATATCTTTAAATTAAATAAGAAATCAATGAATGCAAAAATATTTTTCACTAGTTACTTTGCAGTCCTGTATAGATTTAGCGAGGTACTTTGAAATGGAAGGCAGATGGCACATACAGCTCTGTTTTCCTTTAGTGCCTAACATAAAACAGAAGCAGATGCAGTTCTGTTTGAACAGCCTGCTATATTTTGCATTTAAATTTTATTTTATACAACATTATATTTTCTACACTTTTCAGTAGAGGAAATTAATTGCTAATTGACTTAACCAAAGATTTTGCAACCCCGCCCCAATAATTTGTTTAAAAATATGTTAAGTATATATTTGCTAAGCCCATTCATGTTCATATTGAAAATAGTAAGGTTTTATTTTGAATTATGTGTTCTATAATCATTTCAAAGTAAATGACTATTTTAATAATATTTGTGGTGGGTTTTTAAAACAGATTGGGTCTTGTTAGGCATTTTAATTTCTACATTGTTAGGCATTTTAATTTCTACATTGTGGTGACAACATCCAAAGAGTTTTTCTCCTTTATCGTAAAATGACACTGTCTCTTGAATGTGAGCCTTTCACATTTGGTTTCTCTGTAATTTTCAAAATAGCTTATGAAAAGCATTAGGAGTTCTGGAAAGGTCACCCAAGCTTCCAAGGTTGTATGCAAAAAATGTGCATAAATTTAAAGATTGCTATAGTGCAACTTAATCTTAGAAAGATGGTCATAAAATGAGATAATTTTAAAAATCAACATGTTTTTGGTGAAAGAAAATTGCATGTTGTAAAACAAAACAAACCAAAAAAGCCAGTATTAATTGTATAGCACAATAATAATTTTATGAAGTCATAGCATCATTCTACAAAGGAACAGATTTACAGAAATAAGAAATACATTGGATAAAATGAAACTTTTAATTAGTCTTTGAAAAAAACATTCAATTTTCCTTTTCTCCTTTAAGACGTCACAACAAGGCAACAACAATAAGAATATTACAACAATAAGAATATTAAACACAAAATTTTTCTTCTGTGAAACCACCTGACCAGCGAAACTTAAACTCATAAATAATTGAAAGGTATTCTACAAGCAGTGGAGACCAAACAGAAGGGCTGCATAAATGAGCACTACAAGAAATTACGTGAGTTTAATAATCTCAGAAGGGGATGATATCATGCTTAGAAACCACATAAAGCAATCATAAGAATAGTAAAATTTTGTGAACACTTTAAAGAAAAGGGATGAATTAGAGGAAGTACTTCCCACAATTACCTTAAAGGTATAATTCTCCTAATATAAAAATAAATTTTAAAAGATCAGTAAAGAAAAAATCATCAATCCAATAGAAAAGGACAAATGATAATGAACAATGAACAGAGAAAAACCAAATGGTTATCATAAAAAGTTGTCCAACTTCATTTCTAATAAAAATACTGTTACTAAGATACTATTCTTCCCCAGTCAAACTGGCAAAGACAAGTGATAGCACATCAGTAAGAATCTGAATTAGTAATATTTAAATAAGGTAGTTGTAGAAAAAAACTTCAAAATTATAAATATTCATGTATGTGAAATAATAATGTATTTATATAGTTTTTCCTTGTACTGCTGTCTAAAGTAGCAAAAGATGGAAAACAATGCTAAATTATGGCCTAATCAAAGAACAGAAAAGAAACAGCCTTCTATATTTATGGTTCTGCATCCACAGACTGAACCAGCCATGGTTGGAAAATATTTTTAAAAATTGTGTACTGAACATGTACAGACTTTTTGTTGGCATTATTCTTTAAACAATATAATATAACAATATTTACATAGGATTTACATTGTGTTAGGTATTTTAAATAAGGTAGAGATGATTTACAGTGTTTGGGAGGATGTGCTTAGATTGTGTAAAAACTATATTATTTTATAGAAGGGTTCAGTCACAGATACAGGTATCCAAGGGCATCCTGGAAACAATTTCTGGTAGGAAATTATACTGAATAGCTATAAATGAGAATGTAGGTCTTTATACACCAATATGGAGCTATGTCTACATATATTGTTACATGAAAATAGAAAAAGATAGAATTGTGTGTGGCCTACTTCTATTTTACAGAAAGGATAAAAGAAAAAGCATATGCACAATGGCTATAGAAGACCACAAGAAGAATAAAAAGACATTCATATTTTTCTCTTAGTGGAAGCATGCGAGTGTGTAGTTGAAGGGTGAAGGAAAGAATATATTTTTCATGCGTATATTTTTATATGTTTTAAATTTTGAAACACTCAAAAATGTATTATGTCTTTGTATGTAAATAAGGATAACTAAGAGAAAAAGACAATAGTGACAATATATACACTTGTGATCTTGCACAATGATTAATGATGGACCACGGTTTCAGACCCGAGGTTCCTGGGGGCTAAAACAAATAAAGGTACAAAATCAACTTCTAAATATATTTTCCCTATAATAGAAAACAAGGACTTTTCAGTCTTTCAAGCCTAAGGAAAAAAATTCAGGTGGGATTGCAAAAATAGAAAAACGTGCTGAGAAATACAGCAAATAAAACGTCGCCTAATGATGCAACTTATGCAAGCATGAGGTTCATGAAATTGATTCTTACTATTGTATCCTAATGAAACCCAGACAGTTCTATAGGAGTCCAAAGTAACGTGGTCCATCTATGCAGTTCTCTGTTTGGTTTGATATAGCATGTGCTTTATACCAGAAATCAGAGACCCCAAAAAATTGGGATATGAAAGTGTGTCATCCAAGTAGAGCTCCATGAGTATCGTTTATTCATTCTTTTACCTAAGCATTCGTGTATTTACTCGTTCCACTAACAGTATTAAGATTCATAACATGATTGGCACTGTGCTGAAGGCTAGAATACATGGATATTTAGAAAAGGCCCTCATCCTTCTGGAGTTTATAAACAGTGGAGAGAACAAATGTGAATTTTGTTAATAGTGAATATTAGTGATGTGGTGAAATATGTACAGGAAACCACGGTGATTAGTATGGCTGATGGAAGAGGAATGTGCGTCGGGGCACCGGCAGAGAGGGAAGGTGATGAAAAGACCAAGATTATAAAAAAGTGTTCTCAGATTTAAGAAAGTGAAGTAGTATGGTATGATACATGATGTGTGTGTGTGTGTGTGTGTGTTCAATGGGTGTGGAACAGCGAAGTATTAGGCTGGGAAACATGCAAGTGCCGAATTAAATGCATGGTCTCTATCAAATATTGCATATTGGTGGCCACATGTATCGTATCAGAATTTTATTTATTTATTGAATAGTTCCCTTTAAATATTTCTGTTTATGAAGTATTTTAATGAAACACCTTCAAACATTTCCTAAGAGCCACAAAACCTCTGTATCTTTGTGCCATCGTAGGACACGTAGGCTAATTTATAGAGCAGAATAATGCAGACACATGTGAAGTCATCCTAAATGAGTCAGGACTTCTGATTATGGAGCTAAAATTCTAAGAAGCATCTAGAAGAATATTTTCTTGCTATCATTGCCTTAGGCTGTTGCTTCCATCTTTTAGGTCCATCTCTGACTTGAAACCGTTCATCATTTGGTTCAAAAGGCTGGTGGGGTCCTATCTGTATGGCCTCGGATTTACCACAGTCTTAAAATGATCATATGTTAGTGAAACATTACCTTGAAAATTTAATGATTATTTACTTCACAAATTTCAAGTTTGGTTTTTGCTACATGATTTATAACTAATCAACTAACTACATGTATGTACATAAACATATATGTATACCTACACCGTGTACATATATACACACGTACACTTGTGTATATGTGTGTATATATATACACATACATACATACATACTTATAGTTTTGCCGTTATTGGCCTCTGTTGCATTTTTTTTATTATCTTAAAGAGACATCTATCATGAACATTGTGTGTGATTTAATGGAATTTACTCAATTTCTTTGGCATGTGAGTACCTGCAAAGGAGCATTTCCTTAATAATGGACTGTAGGGAAGAGTTAATGAAATATACCAAAAATTTCTAATTTGTTAGCCATAAGTAGCTTTAAAAAGGTTTCAGAGCCCCTACCTGTAGATGCAGCTACTTGGGAAACCATAGCAGGAGGATCACTTGAGCCCATGAGTTTGAGACCAGTCTGGGGAATATAAGGAGATCTGTCTCAAGGGAAAAAAAAAAAAAAAAAAAAAAGCAAATCATTTATAATTAAAAATGCAAAAATAGTAAAATTGTATTTTAAAAATACAATTTCAGTCCAGAAAATAGACAGAAATTTCTTTTTTTTGGTACTGTGAATCGAATTCAGGACCTTGCATTTGCCAGGCAGGCACTTATGCTGCTGAGCTGTATCCCCAACCTGAACAGAAACATCTACAAAATTGTTTTTGCAGATATATAATATTTATTTCTTTAAAAAAATTTAATGGACTTTGAGGAGTACCATGTTAAAAATATATTTTCGCACTTTCAAAATTGTCCTGATAGAAAAAAAATTACGTGGTCACTCCTAAACTGTCTCTCTTAGGTCAGCAAGCTCCGTCAGCAGGTGGCAGTCCCGACAATGCCGAGAAGTCAAGCCGAGGGGCCGACCAACTCAGAGCGAGGGCTTCACGCGGGGGAAATATTCATGACCACTTTATCTGCTTCCCACAGACTTGTATAGAGCCCAAATTAGGCTAGCTGATTTATGCAAACTTCTACAAAATTAGAAATGTAAGATATCTTTATGATTTTTTTCTGTCCGTTAAACTTGTCCTATATTCCCTCAATTGAAGTTAGACAGAAACCACAAACTAAAAACAATTAGTGATTTAATTCTACTAATATACTGAGGATAGTACTGCACAAAGATAAGTATAAATGGTAAAAACATAGATTCATAAATTCAAACTCAAAATTTGCTGTGTAGGATAGTATTGAAAGCCTGAAATAAATACAGTAGAAAGATGTTTCGTTATTGCTAGATTTAGTATGAAAATCAAACTGCATATAATTCAGTTCTAGCAGAATCTTAAATATGTGATATTTATGATTTGCAGTTGAGTTACCAAGTGAATTTAATTAGCTATGAATATTTTTGTACTCATATATTAAGCATTCCAAATATGTTATTTATGAGTTTTATTGATAAGTTGCAGACAGAAGTATTTCAGACTTAAGAAAAAGTGATCTGAGGTTTATTGGGAAGATGAGTGAGAGGCTGGTGACAGTTACCTCTGGCGTCTGCTATTTTCTGTGCTGTCAGGTCCTACCTGGTGCAGTCAGGGCCGAAGATGCTTGTGTTCCTAGCATGGTCCTTTACTTCTTAGAAGTGGTAGGGATGTATATATATTTTTCTCTTTCCTTTTTTCTTTTTCTTCTCCTAGGTAGCTAAGATAACTGTACTAATTTCTCCTAGGTAGCTAAGCTAATTGTACTCCTTTCTGTTGGTTTATTGAGAGGAACAGTTAATGTTTAACTGTTTGATCGGTTTTGCATACCTATATCTGGCAATCTGAACAAGTACTTTAAAGACAACAATGTGCAATATAGCAACCATTGTTAATTTCTTACCTTGTTTTGAAAGTCTGTATCATTTTTATTTTTTTTTCAATTTTTATTCTCTTTAAAATAAAAGAAAGTTTATTTTAAGATAGGGAGAGTAAAGGATGGAGTACAATAAAGTGTATTTGGAGAGAGAAATCTAAAGTAAATTGATTGTGAGCATAAAAAATAGTTAACCTAGGGTAAAATGAGAATTGTCTCTCATTTGTAATGTCTAGAAAAGTTGGAGGAAATAAAGATTTTTTTTTAAGAATCAAAGAATAAACTGATGTAGAATGAAAGATAGACAGCAAGTACCTGTCCCTGAAGCCTGAGTCTAAGAGGAAATCAAAAGCATAGTAAAATAAAGCCAAGATCCAACCCAGAATATTACCTCTAAATTGAAGCTAATAAGAAGTTGACTTGAGTTGTAGCTGTGACAATACTCCCTTTTCAGGATGTAGGAATCAGCAATAAACAACTGAACTAAACCCCCAAATTCCTAAGTGTCCAGTTAGGAGCTCCACAGCATGACGTGCCTGTTTCCTAGTCTCTGCTTTCATAGCCAGACTCTGCCGAGTGAACTGACCTCTTGGCTGCTCTGTGTTCTGACAGCTT